TTTTACAATGTCTAGGCCAAGACATTATCAAAGGTCATCACTGACTTCTGAATGCATTGTGTGCCGTTTACTACTTCTGTGTTTGTGCGCTTGGTTACTATCACGCGTACAAATTTAGCAGTGTGCACCTGTTAAGAAGCAGCGAGGCCAAGTCGTCACGGCGCCGGACTTGACGTCGGGAGATGGCGGGTTCAGGTACCGCTCTGACCACTAAGCTGGAGTTGTTTGTCGGTAGACCCTAGTTCATCTAAATTGCCAACTGGTCTGCTCCCTCCCTGCTGGGAATTGTTTTTTTTTGAAATATTTGTGTCTTTCAGTTTAAGTGGCGTGCATGAGTACTAGATACTACAAATATTTAACATTTAACAACATAAAAACCATAAGCGATTATTGTCTGCATGTTTTTCAGCACCACACAATCTGCAGAGCTGCAAAGTACAGTCAGTAAAAAGGGGGATGTTGCTTAACAATCTTTCTAGGCTACACTAAATAACAGATTGTCTACCAGTCATTCAAATAAAGGAAAATGAGGTTAGAGATCCAGGCTTTGTAGGGGAATATATCAACAGGCAGACTGATCCTCTGAAAATACTTTTATACGAGAGAATATTCTTCAGATTCATAGATGATTCCGGGTTCAATTTGGATTCGAAAACCACGGCATGCAGATGCTACAACCCGATCAGAGGCTGAAACAATGGCATAATGCTAATCTTGTTACCTTCCCAGCGGCTTACAGTGCGCTAGACATCAAATTTCAGCTCCGGCATTTCTGCAATTGTCCTTGGAGGATTCTACGCTTTGTAGCGGATTGAGCCGCGCAAAGTATGGGCCAGCTAAAAGAATACGACGGATTCACACACGTAGATGACGAGCAGGCCCAGTCGCTACAACGCTCCATTCTTTAAGCTGATGCATACTTTGCACGGCTCAATCCACTACAAAGTGTAGAATCGTCGAAGTGATCCAACAATGGTAACCATCTTTTATCATACATGTTCATTGCTACATTGCGAAACTGTTCCCATCGGGAATTACGCAACTGATATATTCAATACACAATTAGCGGACGATACTTACCCTGAAGATGACCTAGTGTCGAAAACGTTCGGTGTTTTTCACTTTTTAACTTTTTTAGCCTTGTAAATAGAAACTATTTTTTAAATCAAGGCGAATATTATGGACAATTATTATCCTATTTTTCTAGTTTTCAATTGGTCAATCTCTTCTTGCCTTATCAAGTCAGCTACGTTCAATAAGGTTTTATATCCGAGTTCTTTGTTTTGTACCACATGATGAATTCCCCTTGGCTTGAGTCCCGGTCGTAGCTAGAGTCAGCGTAAAAGCAGGTACATCGTAAAGTTGTATTTAGAAGAGTAAGAGTGGAGAAAGCAGATGAAGGGAGAAGCGAAGTTCTGAAAGAAGGCTGAAGATTAAAAGAAGTCCTAGTACAAGAGTTCCGATACCTCTTGTTAAAGCAAAGCGAGCTCTTGATTAGTACCCTACAGACGTCACTCAAATGATTTCAGATATTTTAGTTTCAAAAGTTCCTTAGTCCGGACGTAGTTAACAGAAATGCTCTTTATAACTCAAACAGTAAAATATACTATATTATTCTTTTATTTATACATCTGATTGATTGTAAAAAGATTACGGAATCATTGTTGCTCGTATGAAATGGCGATTTCGGCTCCTCGAAAAGAGTAAGTATAAGAAATATTATGTTCAACAAGACAACAAAAAGATGAAACACTATGCTACTGTACAAGATTTTCGTAATTTTTTAGAGCTTTTTCCTCCAAAAACTAGTTTGTGAAATAAATAACTAAATTCTCAAGCCGTTTTAATCTGTTTCTTGCTCCTCTACGTCTTCATCTTCCTCCACAATTGTAGGAGGAATGTTCTCCTTTACTGAACGTAAAAGATCACGGACAGGCGAAGGTGGCGGATTCAAGTGTTGCAAATGATTCCATGGAATAAGGTCAAAATATGAAAAAGTAAATGCTTTTGTTAGTCGCTGGCATAAAGCAAGATATTGACTTTCTTTTAAGATTCCTGCAATAAATAAATGTCTTTGTAACTGCTTTTGCCGTAGTAATGCGAGAGCCTCTTCCCGTTGTCTTTGTTCTTCTTCTCGAACTCTCCTCTCCTCCTCTTCTTTTCGTTTCTGTACTTCAAGTCTTCGTCTCAACTCATCTTCTTCCTCTCGCATTTTCTTCAGGAATGCTATCCTTTCCGACTCTTCCATAGCTTTTATTCGTTCTTCCTCCTCTCTGAGCCGCGCTGCCTCGAGTTCAGCCTCAATCTTCTCTTGCTCTTTGCGTAATTCCTCCTCGAGTTTTCTGTGCGCTAACACTTGTTGTTGCCGTTTCTTCCAGTCTTCTTTAGCACGGCGTTCTCGTTCAGCTTTCATGTCGGCCAGCCTTTCTTTCTCTAGTTCTTCATCCCGTTCACGCCGTTTGGCTTCTTCCTTTTCCTCTCGTCTTTGTCTATGGAAAGGGAAACAATATAATGCCACTTTACTTTAGAGAAGATAATTTTAAAACATTAAAAAAAAACCCAGTCTATTATAACAAGGAACTATCCAACACAAGGGCTTTGCCGTCAAGGTTTGGCACCCAGTGGTCTAGTCTCCTGGTCGGCTACAGCATTGTTTCATGTATTTGTGTTGTGTCACAGGTGAAATTATCCCGTGGACTAAAACACAGTAAGTCACATTTGGCCAAATTATTATGAAATTTTAAAACATCTAAGGAAAAACAAGTAAATTATGATGTTATTCCGGAATAAGAATATATTCCAAATTACTCTAGAATAGCTATTCCGACCGCTCGTCAAAACACAATAGTGCATTTTCTGAACAATCCAAGCGCCGATGGATTCTTCTGATCCCTTTCTTTACCCGTTGAGCTGTTTACTACCGGGAATAGCTTAGTTAATGTTTACACCGAGACCACATGTAGGTATCGAATTCTATGAACTGTTAAAATGCTAAATTACGTAAATCTTTGTATTTTAGGAATACACGTACGTCTTTTGAACGAGCTTGTACAGCTCTTAGACGTGACGTGTCTAAATAAAGTATCGTTGACTACATAACCACCACCTCTCCACCCAGGTGTATAAATGGGTACCGGCGAACTTAATGCTGGGGGTANAGTAGAAATACTCCTAGTCGCTTCATGCTACAGAAACCGGGATAAGCTCCGGCCTGATGGGCCACTTGGCTCGCATGCAGACTTTACCTGACAACATAACATTTAGGTTCATCGACTGGCATTGATTTGTTGAACAGCCTTCTGATAGCACTTCCTATCGATTGCACACCATGAACGTTTAAAGCATATTTTCAGCCCCAGTAGCCGCTATCTCTATTTGTTATTTTGTAAAGAAGCAGTGCGGTGTTCTGAGTATTCTGCTCCCCTGAGCAGAATGCTTTGAACACATTTCACGTACTGCGACTCAATCAAATGGTCATTCTGGTTTATTCGGCTATTTATTCTTTTTCCGGAAAAGAGTACATGGACCTTAAGAGATAATTGCTAATGCAGACTACTATCCAAAAGATTCAACATGAAATCTTCAGCGCTGATAACAAGTCTAGTCTTTCGAGCTCTTTATACAATGATCAGTATTCTAACGAAATAGAGAACGTAAATGAAGTGAATGGAGGTTTCTATTACCTCTGTAAATTATGGCGAGAAATATTGTAAGGGATGACGTCTAGGTAAGGTAAAGGTACGGTAAACTTTATTTGATAGGTAGGTTGAAAGGGGGTTGGCAGCCAAAGGGCTGATGTGGACCTACACACAAAATTTACAATTTTACAAACACGAAAGATATTAACAAAAGAATGAAGAATAAAGAATAAGTCTTAGCAAAGCGTGGAAGAAAACCCTTCACGTGAACATTGTAAATCCCAAATAATAACTTGAATATAGCAAATTACAATCGAGGAAATTTCTTTACCTTCGTTCCTCCTCTCTCTTCTTCATCTCTTCTTCTGCCTCAAGTCGCAGCTGTTCTAATCTGGCCTCCTCCTCAATGGCTCGTTTCTTGGCCTCTTCTCTCTCTCTTCGCTTACGTTCCACCTCTTGACGTCTTCGTTCTGCAGCAGCAGCTCGTTCTGCCGCCCTCTTAGCTGCCCTAGACTCCTGGACTGGTTTTTGCTCCACCGGTGATGGAGACTGCTCTGGTTCTGGTTCTTTATCAACAGGTTGTGGCTCGGGAGGTTTAGGGACAAGAACTGGTATATCGGCAGTAACTGAAGTCGTGTTACTTTCGGTTGGTGAATCGTTCTTCCTTACAGTTAACTCATCTGAAGCTTTAGAGGAAACTCTGGATGAAGTAACTCTCGACAAAGTAGAAGAAACAATAGTTCTGTCTGAAGCTTCTGCTTCATGTTCACCTGTTTCTGAGTCAACTCTGACAGGTTCAGGTTCAGGTTCAGGTTTCTCTACTTCCACTGTTATTGCTTTACTAACGTCCTCTGTTTTTTCCAGTTCATTGACTTTGTTCGAAGCGTCTGCTTTTCCTTTACTAGGTTTTGCAGTTTTATTTGAAGGTTTTGATTGCTGTTTTGCTGGTTTCTTGCCTGCCTTTTTCTTCCCTACAACAGGTTTTTTTGTTGGCCCAGCTTGACCTTTCTTTTTCACTTGTCCTGGTGCAGGTTTGTTTTGAAGACCAGCAGGTGGCTTTGATGCTGCTGGCCGAGGAAACTGAAATGGCTTTTGCTCTTTTTTCGGGGATGACGGCTCCATTCTTGATTTTGCTTCTATTAAGGTATAGTCCTGTTTGACTTCTGTTACTATGGCATTCAAAGCTGTTTTGAATTCTTCATCCTCTGATTCTTCATCATTTAGTTCATCAGCTAGCTCTCGTTGAAAGCTTGGCTCTCTGTCTTTTACGGCATAACTAAATATATCGACTTGCACGTCAGCATTGGAAACACGCTCCCAGGGTATTGAATGAGGACCAGCTGATTCAGATCCTTTGGTTGATGCAGAGCCATCTTTAATAGAACATAAAAGAAAATAATTTTCAATAACGCCCTACAAAGCATTGAGTTTATAGAGCAGTTTATTTTGCACAGTCTCCCTAAACACAGCCAATTGAGTATAGATGTGTTAAATTATTATGTCCAGAATAGGAAATAAGATAACAATGAATAAAAGTTACTAAACTAGATGTTATTTCCGTACTGGGGTAATACAAGTGCGTTTTTAAAGCCCAAGAACAGATTTCGTAATACGGATCAAACAAGCGTGTTCAATCAAGTATTTTTTCACCATATGACTTTTTGACAACCTAAGCAGTTGCTTATTTTCCTTGTACACTGCGAAGATCACTTTATATCCTACATGTCACCACAGTTTATATAACCTGTGATATATTTACTACATCAAACACAAGAGCATA